TTGCCACTACTTCTGATACACGAAGGGCATAGTGCTTGCCAAGTGTGGTAAAAATTTCAGTCAGTCCTGCTTGGTGCTAGGGGGCCTCGTAGCAGAGAAGTCTAAACCGCAGTGTGTCAACAATACAGCTGTCTGCCTGTCACTCGGGATGTTTTTCACGATACAGGTACAGCTTGGCCCGCTCACGGTATTCCCCCCACTTCGATGCACTTGAGTCCAACGAATCCAACCTCCAGACGACAGGCACGACGACTTGTGGTTGTGCTGTGCCCGTCTGGTTCGTCATTCGACCTCGTCCCCACCCCCGTTGCCACTTGTGATAATCAGATAGTAGGACATGCCCCTTTAAACCGAGTAGTTCTGGGCCATGCTGGTCGCCGGACTGAATCACACACACATACGTTAACGGGTTTCACACTGACCATCTGGCCATGTGCGCTGCATTTACTTCATTCCATCAAAGCCCCCGTGTGCCGGAACGGCAAACTAACTCATCACGCAGACAAACGGAGGCTCCAGTGACACAACAGTTCTTAACTTCCGCCCGGCAAAAATCAACGTCAACACACAATGTTGCCATTAATTCTGGCAAACGAGGTGAGCGTGTTGAGGCAAGCCATAAAATACATTTGAAGAGAATCTACGAAACTCTCAAGCTTGCAATTTGGCATGAATGGCGCATACGTGCAAATAACGTACCCAGTGAATTCAATTTATATCCATTGATACCGAAAAATCGTTAGAGTTGGCCTATAAGAGTGTTGGCTTGTGCACAGTTGACACTTGCAGCACGTTGCTGAACAACCAAGAAGTAACAACTGTGACAGTGGTTAATTAACACTCATCCTGAGGATACGTGTGAGTTCCTTTCTAGCATCCTTCTTGGTTTCTTTAGCAGCACACTTCCAGTGTTGAGCTGTGACAGTTGTTCAGCACTCGTCCTGTGTACTTTCTTTTCCTGCATTCTTTGTGCTTGAGCGGCGAGTTGCATGTCTGGGGTTGCTTGCCCTTCGTATGACATTCTAATTTCTAGCCATCACATTCACTGCTTAGGACCATGTGCGCTCACACCGCATTAATGCTTAACAAATCGGGAGTTGACAGGTCGACACACCTATCTAAATTTAGGGGATTGTGATATCGATATGAGAGTGCACTGCTAACGAAATCTAAGGATTTTCAAGGATGGCAAAAACTCCAGGACTTTCAAGGGCCTTGAAAATGCATTTTTCAAAATCAAGGTCTTTCAAGGATTTCACAGACTTGTACGAACCCTGTTTATTGAAACAACTTTTTTGAGAGGGGGAAGAATTATAACGAATGAACAAACTTCGTAGGATAAATTTGTGTGAGTGCGAAATTTTCGGGTAATTTTGAAATGTTCATACGGACGTCCAAGAAAGAAAGATGACGACAAGAAGGCAAGCCAGCGGCAGGTGGCACGTACGGCAGTCGCACGAGAGAAAAAAAGAGGGAAAAGAAGCGCGTGTGGAATGCGTAGAGAGCCAAGCAAGACATAGCCAAAGGTCATGCCGGACCAAGGCACTGGTCTTGGAGGTTTCGTGGCTGTGCTTGCAGAGGGCCTGGAGCATGCCTGGTGGTCCTGACGGGTCCTGACGGGCCTGATGGGTTCTTGATCACCGCCAACACCTGGGACAGCTGAAAGCCATCTACAAATGTGAGGCCTGACAGAGGCCTTGTCTCCTGCTGAGACCGCACGCAAGACGTGCCACTTGCGTGCCTGAGCTCGCTACCGACAAGGGTTGTTGCTGCGCGTGGACTGTCGCCTCCTCAAGATGCTGGTTCAACAAGCAGTGAGCTTCCGTTGTTTCACACAGACTGGACGCTTTGCGTTATTGGGACTTTCAATTTAGTTTAAGTGTGTTCTTTCTGTGCTTGTTTTGCGGTAGTCTAACGAGTCCCTTGTTGTGATAAATGTTCTTTGAAATCTTCTCCTGCGTCATCTCTTATATTGTACGCTTGATTGACCACGCACAGGCAAACGTGATGAACCATCCCTGTCGTTACAGAATAGTATGTGTCTCATATTGCAAATAAAAATGGGCATATTTGACATGGGCCAACCAATCTGCACAGTATTTCCAAAAATTTAAGCAAGGCATGTGCAACTGTCATTCTCTTTAAAAAAAAGTTCAGAGGAATTAAAAGCAACTTTGAATAGTAGCAGACTTTGACTATCAGTAAAATGCATGTGTTGACCTGTAAAGCAAGCTACGTTTAAAAATTACTACTGATGAGGAATAAGTTGCTGCTTTTATTTGCGGCTCGATTTCTCGAGACACATTCTGCTTTGCCTATTTGACCAGCAGTTTAAGGATGAGTTTTCTATCGCATTAAAGACTTAGCGTTCTTTACCGAAGGCGTTTGTCTATTCAAAGTGGTGCAGAAAACAGCAGGAGCCATGAAACGACAACTTTCACAGCAACCGAAGCAAGCATTTGTCTCTTCAGAGGATACAAGCTGATATAACAAGCTTTTAAACTTGAAAAATGATCAATCGATTTGAGGCCAATACCGTATTCACTCGCACAATTTGCGCACCCCTAAAATTTTGCCAGCTTTACTAAACAAAAGATATTTCACATAATTTGTGCTCGTCGACATGCCCGAGCCAGCTCGCCAGCTCCCGCATAAACTTTGGACCTTTAGATGCTATGAACAGCCACGCCGAGCGCATGCCTCGCCAAGCAAGCAAGCAAAAAAGTGCCAAGTTCCTTCTGCCGAGGACTCCACCAAACCCAGAATACCGTACCTAAACACCCAAATCTGTGGACGGCTCCCCAAAACTGCTCGATCGTTTCCTCGCTATCCATCTCTACCACAGGGAGGGTGCATGCTCATGTCACGGCATGGGCAATTTTCTGCATAGGAGGCATGCCAGGACCTGTCGTGCCAATCGTTTCCGTCTTTCTTGGCGTCCGCTTTTAAACACACGCTTGGCTGATCTCAAAGTTTAGGTTTCGCCATAGAGTTTCATACAATAATACCCATAGAGCAATCTGGCACTGTGATCGTGTACCCCCAATGGGAATTATGCGAAGTACAGGGTTCGGATTGGATTGCGTTCGCTAGCTAACTGTCTACAGATATTTTTTTACAGTGTCAGTTTCGTTCTTTGCGCAGCGTGGGTAGTGGGGTGCGGGGCAAAGCACTGAAGCAGTGCCTTGGTTGTTCAAAAAGGCTGAAGACCAGTAGGTGTTTTGATCTGCTGTAACGTTCGGGCCTTACAGGTTGTATTTGACAATTTAAGCGAAGTGTCGTCCACTCACCACGGCGCGTACACATAGCCTGCGATGCCAGTGGAGGATATTGCATTGAGTTAATGTTTTCCAAAAGCCCATCTTGCGAAAACTCGTTTGTATCCACTTGGAACGACGATGAAACAAAGTAGACGCACCGTCATGCTCCTTTAACTCGACTTCAGAACAAAACGAGAAGGGCATTGGGGGCAGACCCATTGGACAGACGCACCTGGCATCGCAGCACAGAAAACATTAAGTGTTTTTCACTTAATACTGTTCTGTTATTTACATAAATAGATCATGTGTACTTTCAAGAAAAACAAACAAAATTTTATTATTTTGAAGTGTTGTCAAAAATACTTCATTATATCTTGATGCCAAATCTAAAATGCAATGACAAAGCAATGCAAGCCCTAGTGGTTAAATTTTTCCAGGTTTCATTTCTACCTCCTGGTCACGAAAACTTTTAGCAATAAAATTTACGTATAAAAGAAAGAAGTAAGTTTGAATTAAATATACCTTCATATCACTTTGTTTTACACTCGGCAAAGAAGGGTCTCGAATCTCATAAACGTGATCCATCCGGCGCAGATTTGAAGCCAGTACTTCCCATAATGCTCATGGGGTAAAGCGTCGCTAAAGGAGTTCGTGTAGACACTAGCACCAGATTTCCCTTTGGGTATTATTGCATGAAACTAAAGGTTTCGCCATGCGTGCATCACGTTTTTACTGTTCCTTTGCGATAGGTTACAATAATTAAATATGTGGCGAAATTCAAGCTCGCTGCTATAAAGACTGCCAAAGAAAACGGAAACTGTGCCATAGCCAAGCACTTCAGTGTGAGCGCTTCACATGAAGTTTTTCAACCTGTGATGATCTATACAATCGGTGCGGGAAGAAGCAGAAAAGTGCACACTTGCTATTCAAGTTCCCTGCAGTTGAAGAAGGCACTTTCAACTAGTATGTGCGAACGCTTAGGAGTTCCGGTATCACCATGTTGAAGAACCTAGTGTCTCCCAGCATTGTAGAGAAAAGATTAAAAAATAAATGTGGCATTTGAACACGCTCAATGGAACTAAAGATGCACTTTGGGAAAGCAGTGAATGCGGCCGCAGCGATTATTCCTAATAGGACCTCTCAATCAGCAATTCTGCCCAGACCGCACGTGATCAGATCTGCCTGTTTCTGTTAAATAATCAACTACACTTCAATTATGCTTCAATTTATTTTCTTTTTTTTTTTCAATGTATATATTGCTCGCGACTTCTTTGTGTAATATATGCACCGCCTTCTCGGAGCACAAAAAACGCAAAAACTGCGCAGATTATGGGAGTAAATACAGTATGTTTATTCATTCTTGAAGTGGGGCTTTATGGCAGTGCACATTTTTCCTCATATGTATTCACAGTGCAGCACGCCTTCACTGTAACCCCTTCTACAGTTAAGAGAAGGTGTACTAATACACACATATTTTTTTCATTCTGAATATGTCAAAATTTCTACCAGCACTTCAATTTAAATTGATTTGAACTCTAATATTGTAATATTAACTGGAATATTCGAAGTGCTCGTATATTAGTACAAGCCTAGTTTTCACACTTGAACACTATGGTCCTCAAGCATCAGCTGCTAATCAAGCTGACAGCAACTGCGTGCCCCAATCGTAGTTTCTGTCACAGCCTGGTTTATTGGCATGTTTCTTGGTTGCTCTACCACGTACACAGCCGAGATTCTCACCATGCCGTAGAGCAGGTCCAGAGCCCTGAGGCGGATAGACTCGTCCTTGTCATCAAGACACTGCAGCACCAAGTCTTGTGGGCTTGGACACTCCTGGGGTGCGTCTTCAGTATCTTGGACATGGCCAGCAGCCCCAGGTATTTCACTGAACCGTGAAACAGATGCAGGTCAGCCGGTACAACTCGGCGTCTCATCCTCAGCACACTTAAGCTCTTAAAGAGGCCATGGTATATAATTCTTTATCATAACCTAATCCTTGTGCATTCACAAGCAAGTTGAGTGCTTCATTTTTAATTTAACATTATTACAAACAGCAACCAGCCTGAGAGTTCAGCAACACTGGCACACTCGTGACTTGTTTCGCAGCAAGCAGTGGAAGCATCTGCATTCCGGCAAACAATATTGCTTTTTTGCCAGCTAGGTCGAGATGCTTCAGCTTGGCACTGAAACTTGCAGTGACTGAAACTTTGGCAAAAGATGGGGGTTCGCTCCTTGCTGCAGATTGTAACGCACCATGAGAGGGGCTTACAGCCTGCAACTTACAGGGCCTGTTTTGCACTGAAATATTTTTTATGGCCCACTTTTCAGATAGGTCAAGGCATAATAGGCCCTCTACTTCTTGTTTTCACTGGAAACCATTAATTGTCACATCACAAAATGACCCCTTTTACCGTCTTGCCAACTAGGCCCCAACATGCACTTCTCGAACACAACTGCCCTTGACTATTGTGAGTGTTGGCAACAAGAGCTCGATAAAGCTCTGTGGTACCTGTTGCTTCCAGCTGTACAAGGCTAACTTTCCTCAAAACAAGCCAGCTACATTGGACAGCATTCATAATTGTGCTGCGGGCATACACATAAGAAAAAAAACAGCTGTCATGAAAACTGCACAGATGTCAACCCTTCGTGTCCCCCAACCAAACAAGTCGCACTTTTTTTTTGTATACACAATTACAGTAGATACGAAAGTTGGAATAAACCAAAAAACCTGGAAAACTTAGCTTGATATCTACAAGAAAAGTGTCCCCAAGCATGGATGCTGGAATCACCACTTACGCAAGGCTATCATCGTTGTTCATTGCACATGGAAACTTAACTTGCTGACTGCTCCGTTTCAAGGCATTAGTCCAAATAACCATTCAAGTACTTGCCATAATCAATGCCTTTCTCAGTTCAAAGTAGAAATATTTTAAATAAAACAACGAGCTAAAGTCGCCCCTTTTCTTATACAGTCGAGCCTGCTTGTTATAATGAACCTGAGCCTGACGCAGCATCCGTTCGCTGTATCTGAAGTTCGTAGTAAATGAAAAACAGCTTTTAAAAAGTTGCGAGTGAAAACGCAAAAATTTTTGCCCAAAAAAGTCCGTGATGCCCGTGTTTCGAAGAGCAGAAGCGATAAGGGCAGTCTCCAGTTTATTTCAATGGCAGCATGCTCTTCGCTCCAAACTTTTGTCGTTCTCCCAATCCGATTCCTCCAAATCGCTCTTGCCGCTCACTTAATTCACACAGCCCTAATTCGCGCACGGTTCCGCGTTGTCGGCATCATCATCGGCCTTAATTAAACCATCGCAACAGATGTCCCACCCGCTCTGCGAGGTCAGAGTCGACTACGCGCTGCCACAAATTGCTGCCGAAGTGGTCCTGTTCGGAAGCTTCAGGCTCGGCATCGGGCCCGACGTCGATGAAGTCCGCCTCGTGAAAACATTTTCGCGTGCATGTAGCCGTCAAGGCGCCAAAAAATATTCACCATCTCCACAGCTGAATACCGGAACGCCCGAAGCAGCACGTTGGCTGCCAAATGGTCAACAGCTATGAGTAAGCGCTCCGCAACGCGGCACATAATGCGTGGATTATGCCCAAGCCAAGCGTTCACACTTTCAACATTTTGTTGAGCGGCAAAAAAAAGAGTGCAAAACCTCCCGTCTGCCTTCCTGACTACACACGCACACCTGGGGCGAGCAAGACGCGCACATGCAACACACACGCCACAACGAGTGGTACAGTTCTGGGTCGGTTTCTAGTCAGAAAACAAAACTTTTGAATTCGAGTCAGCATGGCTGGCATCGCGGAGCGGTGAAGACGGGCGAAGGAGTTGTGTCAAGAGAGAAGAGCCGATTTGCGAGAGAAGGGCAAGGAGTTGCGATAGAGTGAAGAGAGGGGAGAATACGGTGGAAAGGCGACCTTGAAAACCAAAACACGCAGGAAGGAGGCAAATCGGGCCACTTGCTTGAAAAGTCCATGTGCAACTCCCGCGTAGAAAAAAAATTGAAAGAGTGCCTGCGCGCACAGAGGTCTAAGGACGGTTGCTTGGATGGCGGCGCGCGGCAATGTTCAAAGAATTGGCGGCCGTGGTCAAAGAATCGATTTGTTGTGCCGGTGGGTTTGCGTGGCCTCACTAACTTCTATATTTCGCAATTTGTTCTGTGCAAATTTGTCCGTTTGTCCGCTTCTGCACGCATGCGGAGGGCATGCTGAGCCAAGCGCAAAGTGAGCGAGAACAGGTCCTAAACACAAAAAGAATCGCGAATTATCAGAGTAGGTGGGGAAGCTTATGCGCGCGCACTAGAATGATACAATAAGACAATATGCAGATGATTAGATACAGACGATGCTGGCAAATGGTCTGGTCACTCCAGGCCGGCGATGTCAACAACAGTACCAGCAATCAAAAACGGGGGAGATGGCCGACCGGTCTTCGAAAGATGGGTCGCAGTGTGAAAACACGGGCCGCGTCACGGGATGCGAGGTGCTCAGAGTAGCGAGGGGACAAAGGACTGAAGGGTGGAAAACAAAGAGCGGTCAGGGAGAGCGGCAACTAGAGGGGCGCGGAGGCAGGGTTGGCGTTTAACAATAAGAATCTTGTGGGCACCTCGCTGATCCATGGTCGAAAGTGGTTTTCCAGGAAGTCGGCAGAGCGCCAACTTCGTTCGCTGTAACCGATAGGCGGCGCTCAGGGACGTTCGTTGCAAGTGCGATTTTGTGTCATTGAAACAATGTTTATTTTCACTGTAACGTGGATATTGTTCATTTTATGCAATAGTTCGTTTTAAGTGAGGCCGTTATATGTGGCCTAGCTGACAGTGTGCCACCGTCTGGCAACATGTGGCTTGCATGTGCATGAGAAGCCAGACACGGCTATATAAACATCCAAGTTTAATAGCAGGCTTTTTTTTTTTTTTCTGTCATCTTTGTGTCCGTGATTTGTTTCCGATCTGTTCCGAGTTTTCGCTCCGCTTGATGCTGCGTTTGAATTCTGGTGTGTTCTTTTTTTCCTTTCACTGAATATGAATAACGGTACGAGGAGGGAGTTCTCCGCAGTGTTTGAACTAAATGTTGTTGAGTTTGTGGAAGTGAACTGCAACATGGCTGCTCAGCACCACTTGTAAAAGCGTGCGTTATTGGAGAGTGCAGAAAGGAAACCTGCAGATGTGCAATTCATGAAAAATTTTACGTGGACAAAGCACGCTTCAGCCCCAGTTAGAGGATACACTAGCAAACTTTGTGCGGGAAGTATGCGCGCGCTCGCTGGCAGTGACCGTGGGTACCATTCGCAAGAAAGTCGAACTCTCTGAGGAAAAATACGGTATGTAAATATGTACGATGCACCATTAAAATTGAAGTCGCCATCGTTTATATTGAATCCAATACATCGCTTCTCATAGTTAAGGCACGAGGTGAGGAGTGTGCTCTTAGTTGTAAATGCCATCGCAAGGCCATTGCAACGCACAGCTCTCCCGATGTGCCCTTCAACCTTTGAACTTGCGTGCACTTTAAAAATCCCTGTCACTCTAGTATGAGCACAACCACACAGATGGCACTACAAGTTGAGGCGCACGGTGGTTTCTTTAAAGTAGGCCCTGAAAAACATCGATCAGTGTCATAAAAAAAAAGAACACTAAAGGCAACTATTATTTCTATGTTGATTGCTGGAAAAGTGGTCAAGAAACGTCGTAGTGCTACTTTTGTGCCAAGGAAGTGCTTATTTTCAATTGAAAACATGTTTTAATGGTCCGCATTGCAATAGCACACTTCAAATTACTGCGTGAGAGCGGTCTTTTAGACGTTACATTATCACCTGAATAGTTGTATTCACAGTTTATCACCACAACCACGTTTACACGGGGATTATATGTGGATCAATATACACCAATTTGTTAATTTCAAAAACATCAAAATTTTCAATATTTTTTGAAAATTGTAAAATTTATTCGAATTTTCGAAGAGATCGAATATTTGCAAAGGCCTACACTACGGGAAGAAGTTAGCATCACAAGCTTACAGTTTTGATCGGAGTCTTCTATCAATATTCGGAGTTTCTGGACGCAGAGCTGGAAACAAAAAACAGCCACAGTGAGTACACAGAAATGCTGCAGGAAGTATTATTAAGGCACTGGCTATTGCTATTCGCATCAAATGTCGAATCCAGAAAGTGGCAGCATGTAGGCATACATGTGACAAAACATAGAAGACCACAACTGACACAAAACCATTGAGACGGCAATGAATATCTCATCAAAGTATGCTAAGGTTGAGGCTTAGGCTACTTGGTTCATGCTTGCAACAGGAAAAAGCAGCCCCAAATTCTGACTGGACACAAGACAAAGAAGGCACGACAAGTGACGACTTACAAATAAGTTTTATTTTGGGACATGGCACATATATGCCTTGACAGTCGAAAATTAGAATGGAAACTAACATGATTTGGTGCCTCCTATCTCTCGTTGATATGTATCACCGCTGAGCACCACAAACATGTGCTATATTCATGACTTATGGGTCAAAAAATCTATTTTTTATGTGATATGTGTAGGTATAGTAATATGCATACAAAAGTGATCGCACCATATAACCATAGGCGATTTGCATATTATATATATATATATATATATATATATATATATATATATATACACACACACACACACACACATACAGTCCTACTAAATATTTCCTAGCTGCACACTTTTTTCCTTTCACTGTGCTAGTAGATATATTCTTTGAATTCTGCATTATAGATTACCGGAGGTTTTTTCCGCCTCCTCCAGGACCACCAAACTCTAGTTGCTGGGATGTTCAAGCACACTTTTTTCCGATCGTTTAGAAAAACTGGAGCCCTCCGATGGAAAGGGGACCTGTTGCCAGGATTCTTCTGGCAGATGACAAGGCAGCAGCAGTTGGTTGTTGTACAGGTACCCTTTTTTGCAGTTTCATGACAAGTACACTGGAAGGTTCGGAAATAATCAAGAACCTGTATCACTCCTTAACGCCCAAGTACCTAGGTCGATTTCGACTACTCCATTTATGATATGCTTATTTGTCTTCAGGATGTCACTTTCTTGAAAGTGAACATTGTCCACCTTGTGCGTCTTTCCCAAAATTTCCCATGCGTCTTTCTTACTTCTTCAGTAACAGCGGGTTGGACGGCAAAGAGAAGTGGCATTTCTTAGGGCTTTTCCTGTACCCACTGGTGCGCCCGGGCACAAAACAGATCGTTATGATGTACGGAAGGTCTGGGCTACGGCCCACGGGATAGCAGCAACAGTAGAATTAACCTCGTGAGAAGTACACACGTGCTCGGTGTGTCCACACGTAGTCAATGCTTAGATCATGCCTGGAATGTCAACAATCGGAGAGCTTCCTAAGTCGTAGATGTCCGAGTGTCTTCGTGACTGTAGCCGTCGAATTGTCTTCAGAAGACTGTGGACGCATACAACGTGTACAAAAATCGATGAGACATGCACACAGAAAAAAAAGTGCGACCGAACACTGCCACAGAACACACGAAACTGCAGCTACAGTGAAGCCAGTGGAACGCAGCTGGTTACTTGGCACTAAGTTAGACTGCAGCGCCCCCGCATTCCCTTGGAGCAAATCGCACTTGCCTCGAAAGAAGTTCGGAAACTCAAAAAAGTATCTATAAACAATGGGTAAACCGGCGTTTGATCCCCCATTGCCGACCTGGCCTAGCTGAAAGGAGACAGCCTTTCACAACGCAATTACATACTTTTGAAACTTCACAAGGTCCTCTTTGTAGCTCTTTGGTAGCTTCTGCGAAATCGACGTACGCAGACTTACAAGAACCCAGCGCGGCGCATGAAGAGAGACACCCAATGCTTGCTCACTTTGAAATCCTCCGGCTGAATGCCATTGTCCCATGCAATCTCCCTTGCTTTCGCTTGTAGCAGCAGATCGATGTTAACAGCGAGATGTGCACCTCGCTGCTGTCGCACAAAGTCTGCGAGTTCTCGCACCATGTCAGAAAACGCTCTATTTTTTCGGTTCACGGAAACTTTTTTGTTGACCTCTTTACGCAAAAAGGGTGTCCTTCTGCTTCCACTAACCGCGAATACTTCGCTCGTTGACTATGAACTACCACTCCACGACACAGTTGCCGATTGTTTCGGCAGTAGCGATAACTTTCCTTTTAAAGCAGGCGAGTACTGCCTGCGCAGTGTTAATATGGCGTAAAATCACAGGAGAAAAATCGTGGCCATCGTTAAGGGCGCCAAGTTGAAGCAGAGGCCACTGACCACTGTTGCACATGTGGGTCCGTAGAACTAACACCTGCTATCCTCGCTAACACTACCTAGCACCTAGCGCAGAAGTGCGCAAACACCTGAAGATGATAATAGCACCGCACTATGCTGAAGTCAAAACTGAATTGGCCAAAAATTCTTAGAACCGCATATAGTACGAGGGCGAAATATGGTACCCTCAAATCTAGAAAAGTACCCTGGCCTATATGCGGGCTTTTACAATATGTGCCTATACAGTCGAGCCCAGATATAACGGCCACACTTAAAATTAGCTTTCACTTAAAACAAACAATATCCCCATGATCGTGTAAATATACAATGTTTCAATGGCACAAAATCGCACTCACAACAAATGTCTCCAAGCACCGCCGATTGGTTACAGCGAACAGAGTCGGCGCTCTGCCGACTTCCGGTAAACAACTTTCGACCACCAATCAGGCATCGGCGAGGTGGCAATAGATTCCTATTGTTAAACGGCGACTCTGCCTCCGCGCCCTTCTAGTAGCTGCTCTCCCCAACCGCTTTTTGTTACGCACCTCTCCGTCCTCTGTCCCCGCGCTACTGTGAGTACCCCGCATCACCAGACGCGGCCCGTATTTTCACACTGCCACCAATCTTTCAAAGACCGTTCGGCCATCTCCTTTGTTTTTGATCGCCAGTACTGTCGTCGACGTCGCCGGTCTGGAGTGACCAGACCATTTGCCAACATCGTCTGTATCCAATCGTCTACGTCTTGTCCTATCGTATCGGTCTAGTGCACGCGTGTACGCTACTCCACCCACTCTGATAACTCGGGATTCTTTTCGTGTTTAGGACCTGCTCTCGCTCACTTAGCACTCGGCTTCCACTAAAAAAAAAAAACACTAAAAAGAACGTCGAAAGTGTGGCCACTTGGCTTGGGCGTAATCGGCACGTTAGGAGTCGCGTCGTGGAGTGGCACCTAACCACCTGGCAGCCAACTTGCCGCTTCAAGCGTCCCATTGTTTAGCTGTGGAGAGAGTGAATATTTCGTGGGCGGCAGTGACAGTTACATGCGCGCGAAACTCATTTCGCGAGACCAACTTCGTCTACATACGGGCCCGATGCCAATCCTGAAGCTTTTGAACAGGACCACTGCGGCGGTGATTTTTGGCAGCGCGTTGTCGACCCTGACATGGGAGAGTGGGTGGGTGTATCTGTTGTGATGGTTTAATTACGGCTATGATAATGCCGACACTACAGATTAGGGCACTGTGAATGAACTACGCGTCAGGAGCGATTTGAAGGAATCGGATTGCGAGAACAAAGAAACTTTGGAGCCAGTGCCTCATGCAGCTTACGCCACGGGCCTCGGCGAAGAGCATGCTGGCCTTTAAAATAAACTCGAGACCGCCCTTATCGCTTCTTCCCTTCGAAATACATCCATCACGAACTTTTGGGAGCAAAAAATTTCGTGTTTTCATTCGCAACTTTTTTAAAAACAGTGTTTCATTTACTATGAACTTCGGGATACAGTGAATGGATGCCACGTCAGGCTCAGGTTAGTTATAAGAGGGCTCGACTGCATATCAAAAAATACAACCAGTTATAAGTCAGCACTGATTTCGTGTTTTTTCATTTTGTGTCCTGTCAGAATTTTGCGCTGTTTTTTCCCTGCTTTAACCCTATCAGTCACGGTTTATGCAATTGTACACGTCAACTTTGGAGGTGTGTCATGCACCATTTGTTTCTGAAAATGGCCTGAATTTACGAGTGGACACTTCTGCAGGCTTCCTCAGTGGAGCACTTGCAGCCATCTAACTTCATTATGCTGTGTATTGCTGCATAGGTTCACTTTGCTAGAGACACTACCATGTGTTAGGGGTGCAATGTTCTAGGATTGATGTAAAGACTTAAGAGCACTTTTTTTTTCTGTCAAAACAAATGCAACCGAAAAACAGGTTGTGCATGTATTTCAGGCCTACTATAGCTTACTAAAGCGTGTTGTTCAGCTAGTTGTTGGGCTTTAATGCCGAACTGTTTCCAATAGATCAGTCATGTATTGAACACGATGGAGTGTTTCTTTTGAGAGTAGTGCAGGCATCTCAGTTGATACCTTTGTTCCTTTGGACTTTTGTTCCTTATGATGATCAGTATTATATCCATTGTCAAGGTATCTGCATTCGGTCATGCATTGTGCAAATTTTATCTAGTTTATCTTTAGCTGTTATTGATAAAGAGTTGGCTTTGATTCCTGACAATGCCCCAGTGCCACATGTCTTTAGATATGTTGATTTTTTAGTGATCTTAGAATCTAACCCTTCTGTGCAGTGGATAATAATGTTATTTTGTTTCGGCAACATGGTAAAGGGCTTTCTTTTATGCATGCACTGCCTTTAGATGACAAATTGCAGTTTGAAATTTAACCTTGATGCTATTGGAGCCACACACTTGCTGGACCTACTGCCCTCGCTCTCGTAAAGAACTTTTACCCTACGACTCGGCGCATGCAAAACTTGCTAAGAGGGCAGGAGCATGAATGTGCCTTGAATCTACATTGATGCAGTGCTAACAAAATGAAGGAAAGTTTTTATCACCAGATGTAGAAGATAAATTAAGCCGGATGCTCTGTTATAGTAGCGGAAACCTTCCTTCAGATATAGAAAACAAAGCCGCCGGTGAATAAAAGACCTCAGGTCGTGTGGTATATGCACAAAGTTTCGCACAACTTAAAAAATATGGCGAACAGGTACAAAGTACCTATTTTTTTTTTTTTCAGCCCCATGGAAGCTGGCAGGCCTCCGTCCATGCATTGCAGTACTGCAAAAGCTGACCCTTTGAGATACAAAAACATGCAAGGCAGTTTGTACCTTGCGCGGTGTGCGTTGTTCACGAAATTCTACTTTTATGTAGCAAATTTTATATCGGCCTGACCGGACGCTGCGTTAATGACAGGGCAAAGGAGCATGTGCTTTCAATTAAAAATAAGATCAGTGCCCACGCACAGTAAATCTTGCATGTATGACCTTACAAGCATTCACATACTTGGAGAACGAAAGCACTGTGGCACGTGAACTTTTGGAGGCGTATTTTATGGATGAAAGGCGAGATATGTGTATAAGTGACACTTTTGTCAGCCTGCGTAAATATGAAGCACAATTTCTTTGTTTTGCGTTATGATGTCTCCAACCGGTAGTTCTATGCAACTGTGACTGCGCCTGTATGCAGTTAAAAAGGAGCGTCTTTTTCTTTCAAATTAAGTTAGTTGCAAGTTGACACCCTATCCTGTCCCCCTCCTCCCTTTCTGTTTTGTTGTCAATGTGGTTTGCATCTTTAATATTTCTGCAGCCTAACAGCATTCTTTCAGGACTGAAGCTGACTGATTGCAGAAAAATTGTATATTAAATTACACATTAATCAAGATCAATTAGTGAAAGTCAAACAATAAGTTTTAAATAGAAAATGTGTGGTGCAGCACAGGGACCAAAGAAAATAACATTGGTGCACACTCACAACTGAAAGTTTAAAGATAAGGCAACAGATATATAGCTTACAGATTAAGAGCATGATAGTTTTTCTTCCCTAAAAAAATAGAATGACTATCCCCATTAGACCAAAAGATCACGAAGGTGAGTGCACCTAAATAAAAAACTCTTCCCCCATTTTTGTTGTTATTTTCTTGAACTTTTTTTATTTAGACACATGAACGCCTTCATGATTCTTTTTCTTTAGTCATTTATTTTTTAGGAGAGAAAAACTGCACAACTGGTGATGCCTTTTCAACAAACTTCACTTTGCGAGTGTGCGCCTGGTTATTCTTCTCTATATTAGTTTCTGTTCTGTACTGCACCTCACTTTTGCGTTTAAAATGAATCACTACAAACAAACCCAAATGGCTATTTTGCGACAATCACACAAAACAACCCATTCCTTGATTTTCTCTCTTGGAATGAAATTTGCAAAAAGTGCACCATAATACAAGACTGAAGGAGATATTATCAAAGTAAAACCAATGCAAACGTACCTGTATTGACGCAGAGTGGTTTGGCATTCCTGAGGATATAGAAATCAAGACTGTAAGCGTGGCAAAAAGAATAAAAAAAAAACCAGAGGGGTAGGAAGAACATGCAAGGAAGGATCCCCAAGAAGATGAAACGGGAGATGGGGGTGATCCGGTGGTGGTGGGTGTGGCCATGAGACAAGAGGAAAACAAGAGAACAGGAAAGCACATTAGCAAAACTTGACACAACATCACACACATGCACAGCACAGCTCTAAGTCATCACGCATAGATAACGAACAGTACCATTCACCAATTAAATGTGGCCACTGGTTTACAACTTTTTCTCTCATTTGTTAATCAATATTAATCAGACTTATTGAGTTTTTGTATATATGTGTGAAGATATCAAATATGCAAATGTTTTTTCTGAAATACCAAACATTTAGTGTCTTTTGAGGAACAGAATTTCTTTAAACTAAAAGAGTCACAAAGTAAATCAGCATATCACAATAATTTGGAAACAAAAATGTGTGCAGTGTAGCAAAGATGAAGAATATCGTAAATCCGTCAGAACAAATGTTATGGTACGTAGGACATTCGCGTATGTTTCAATTTAAAGCTGGGATTTCACCACTGAATATTCCGCAAACCGCAACTTTCATTCTAATGGGTTGATGTCAATGATGTCAAAAATGGACATTATAAATGTCCATTTTTGCAGCACTTCAAGCAGTCCCGATTTCAGATTATTGTGACATGCTGATTTTCTTCTTAGCTCTCTCACATTAGCAAAAATCCACGCATCTCCACAAAGTAGATGTTGACAAGTGATCCACCCAATTGATAAGGTTTTCGTATGCAGGGGTGGAAGCAGGCTTCAGTCTTTTGGAGCAGAAATAACACTGTTTTGGAGCAGCTTTGGAGCAGTGAAAGGGGCCATTTTGGAGCAGCTCTTGCACAACAAAAGGCGTGTTTTGGAGCATCAAAATTTAGTGTTGGAGCATATTTCTTGGGTCACACATGACTGTTAATCAGAATTTTCGTTTTCTCTTTGATTTCTCATCACAAATAAAATTCAGTGGTTTATACTAACCATTTAATGCTGATCAAGTGAATAGAGTTACCCCATTTTTTATATATATATATATATATATATATATATATATTCTTATAGGAAAGAAGACGCACGTACGAAGTTACTTTATTTGACGTTTCGGCCGTGGGTCCGGCCTTCATCAGAATACAGTTTATGGCACCAGTGCTGTTTATATACATGTGCATATCAGTAAGATACAAATATCAAAACCGACATAAAAGGCTATATATGGGCATATATATATATATATATATGCAAGTCACACAATATAAAGAGCACCTAATCTACGAGTAAAAAGATATTGCTTCCATGCACGAGCACGTTGTTTACAAATAAAAGATGAAACGCATAAAAGATAAAGCATATAACATGAAGAGTAGTCCGACCGGTAAAAGCAAGAGAAGAAAAAAACTATAAAGTACTAATAAAAATGACAAAGACGTTACAAAGCTGCTACGTAAAGCTGTTACGTATTTTGTCGGGACGAGAAGAGAGAATGCCATTGCAGGGTGTGACAAATTTTCGGAACTCCGCTCGTACTGGAAAGATTCTAGAAACTTTGCGGTGGTAAATTTGAGCGGCAACAAGTATGTTTACTTGCTCCATGGCAACTTCAAAAAAGTGTTGCAGAGCCTGTTTAAGGGAACATGTTACCCTCAAATCGATTCTTCCTTTTATTAAGTGTGTTACTTAATAAAAGGAATGCTGGGAGCATATGACGGCTCATATGCTCCCAGTATAATAAATTTTAAAACATTTAGTATCCTACAGGTTATCGCTCGCATCCCACTGAAACTACTACTTAAGGTTGTGTCGACTTCCTTTGAACAAAAAAGGTGACATTTGCATAGAGCCTCTATTTCAATTCAAAAGAAATATTGTGCAGGTTAGTTAGGTCATGATAAATATTTCCCCTTTTTTTATATGTCGTACATATTGCCACAAGGCAGTAATGGGATTGGGGCATAAAGTGGTAGAGGGTCTCTGCCTGAAAGAAAAGACTACGAAGTGGATAGAGACTGGTCTCAGCCCACCAGTGTGCCAGGCATTGTCGTCGCTTGTAAACGTTGTAAATATCTGCAAATATACGTTTCCTTGTAAGATTATTGGTGGAGGTGCTGGGTACACCTACCTGGCTTTGCCGGCAAACCAACACGGAACTTTGGAGTGGTCGCCACCTTCATTTTCCTGCAATGGCTCAACAGGCCCACCCACAAGAGCAACAGCAGCTGCAGCAGCAGCAGCAGCTGATGCCTCCTCTGATTTTTCTGCCTCCACGAGACCCCGGAACCTTCTCGGGCAAAGGCAAGGACAAGGTGAATGTTGAAGATTGGGTCGCATTGTATGAGCGCGTGAGCGAATACTATAGGTGGGACCCCACGTTGATGCTGGCCAACGTTGTATTTTACTTGCGGGATACGGCGCTCACATGGTATGAGGCCCATGAGTCGGAGTTGACCAGCTGGGACATTTGCAAACTGAAGCTTGTCGAGTTGTTCAGCAGGCTATTTGGGCGACAGCAGGCCACGAGGAAAGACCTGGAATGTCGCGTGCAGACATCGACGGAACCGTATGTATCTTACATACAGGACGTATTGGGCCTCTGTCGAAAGATGGACAAGAACATGAGCGAAACTGACAAAATCGCTCACATATTAAAGGGAATTGCCGATGATGCCTTCGACCTGTTGATCGTTAAGATTGTGCCACCGTCGACGCGGTTGTGAAAGAATGTCAGCGCTTTGAACACGCCAAGAACCGTCGCATAACCCGCCAGTTTACGTGTCTGCCTAATACTGCAGCCACTTCGACCTGCGAAGAGAGCCCCAAGTTCACGCAAGCTACATCATCCGAAAATGTCACCCGAATCGTTCGCCGCGAACTCGAAGCAATGGTTCCTGCAGCCATCGCTTCTGACGGTCCTCAAGACAACGCATCCACCGTCTCCCTCATCTAAGTCGTCGTTCGCCAAGAAATAGCAAATCTCGGCATCGCACCTGTTTGCACTGTTCGCACTAACGAGAGCTCGGCTTCTGTTAACCAGATTACGGTGTACCCTTCCCACCACCCTTCCCGCTAACGGAACCCTGCTGAATGGAAGACGTCAGATGATCGACCGATCTGCTTTCACTGCTCTCGCGCCGGCCACATTGTGCGCTACTGTAGCAATCGTTGGACATCCAATTAATCCTGGAACACCGAGACATGACGTCGCTTTGAAGGCAACTCTCGCCGGTTTTCTACTCCGTACAATCCTCAGCCTGCTCCTACTAACGTTCAGGGCCGAAGGTTCAGCCGGTCACCATCACCCCAAGGCCGCCGATCTCTCTCGCTGATGATTTCTCGATCCAGGTCCCCTGCACGACCTGGGTCCTCAACCTCGGGAAACTTGACCATGCAGCTCCCGGAGATGACGCTGCATTAATGACCCGTTCTACAAATCCTCTGTTGACGATTCCCACATGCCGCAATATTTTGGACCTTTTGGTGGATGACGTAACCGTTACAGCCCTCATAGACACAGGCGCACAAATTTCAGTCATGAGCGCTGCTTTCTGTAATAAACTGCAAAAAGTGATCACGCCTCCTATTAAGTGTGCAGTAACGCTTGCCGATAGAAGCACATCAATCGTTCTCGGCATGTGCACCTCTCGCGTGTGTATTGCTGGCCGCCAGACCGTCGTATTGTTCACCGTGCTTGAGCAGTGCCTACATGACGTGTTTCTCGGTCTAGACTTTCTCTCGGCGCACTCCTCCCTTATCGACTGCTCGACGAGTCTTCTTCAGTTGGAGCTGCCTTTTGACGCTGCTGTTGCCTGTGATGCTCAAAGTCGCCTTTGTGCCACCGAGTTCCTGCATCTTCCGCCGCAAGCCGCGACTTACGTGCAGCTCGTGTGTGATCCGCCTGTGTGCGATGGTGAATATGTCGTTTCACCTATTATCGACGTTGTGCTGAAGCATTCCATTGCTGTCCCCCACACCGTGGTGAGAGTGCGCCACAACCAGACCCATTTGTCTCTTTTGAACTTTGGTTTCTCCGCGCACGCGCTGCCTGTTATTATTAAACTAGGCGTCACGTCGTCGTTGCAAGAGTGTGATATTTCTGAACTGTCGGCTGAGCAACGTCAACTTGCTCACTGCGCCCAACCTGTAAAGCATTGACATTAACAAAATGATAACGCCAGATCTTTCGCACTCCGAAGCACAAGACCTCCACCGTCTGTTGACATTCTATGCGGACATATTCGATCTTGACAACCGCCCTTTAGGCCAGACTTCAGTTGAGACCCCATCACATAAACACCGGCGATGCCAACCCAATACATCGCCGCCCTTACCGTCTCTCCGCTGCCGAACGCTCTGTCATTCAGAAAGAGGTCGAGAAAATGCTCGCCCAAGGCGTCGTCAAACACTCATCTAGTCCGTGGGCATCCCCGGTCGTGCTTGTCAAGAAGAAGGACAACACGTGGCGGTTTTGCGTCGACTATAGACATTTCAACAAGGTCGCTAAGAAGGACGTTTACCCCTTACCAAGAATAGACGACGCCCTTTATTTATTTATTTATAATACCCTCAGGGCCAAATGGCATTACAGAGGGGATTGATTGATATGTGGGGTTTAACGTCCCAAAACCACTATATGATTATGAGAGACGCCGTAGTGGAGGGCTCCGGAAATTTAGACCACCTGGGGTTCTTTAACGTGCACCCAAATCTGAGCACACGGGCCTACAACATTTCCGCCTCCATCGGAAATGCAGCCACCGCAGCCGGGATTCGAACCCGCGCCCTGCGGGTCAGCAGCCGAGTGCCTTAGCCACTAGACCACCGCGGCGGGGCCATTACAGAGGGGAGTGGATTACATTGAATAACACATGGTACATGGTGGGAAGGGAAAAATACAGCGTTAGTACGAATATAAGCAAAAGTCAGTGAACAAACAAAAAATACATTAAATAGGTCCTGCGTATACAA